CATAATTCACAGCCATTTAAATAAAAAGAGGGGTTTTTGTACCAAGCATGTGGTTTATGCATTATCAGGAAGCCTAGATCAGAACGATATGATGATATAAATATGGACAATATAAATGTATGTAAATAAAGAAGAAATAAGATTATTTTGCTGACCAGCCAAACTGCTGCTACTAATCTTGTCAAACAAGCTACAGCACAGACATGTGTGTGTGTGTGTGAGAGAGAGAGAGGGAGAGAGAGAGAGACAGAGAGAGACAGAGAGAGAGAGACAGAGAGAGACAGAGAGAGAGAGACAGAGAGAGACAGAGGGAGGGAGGGAGGGAGGGAGGGAGGGGGAAAGAGACAGAGTCCTATACTCATTTTCTGAATTGTAATTATTCTGCTTCCATCTCTTGGTTCCCTTCAATCGCTTAAAATATTAGAAATATTATCTAAGGCAGGGGTGTCAAACTCAATTTCATTGAGGGCCGCATCAGGGTTGTGTTTGACTTCAGTGGGTCAGGGTGGGCGTGGCCAGTTCAAAATCACGTGTCGGGGGCACCTGTGGAGGCCCGAGCACTCTGCCAGTGAAAACAGAGCTCAGGAGGGTCACACGCGGGATCCTGCCCTAGGAAATAGACTAAAAAAGCCTATTGGACGCTCTGCAAAGAACAGCAGCGTAAACAGGTTACCTTTGGAAAAGCCATGCTGCAATTTGGTGGCTGGTAGGCATAGCCTGATGAGTCTTTCAGCACTGGGTGCTTAAGTATGTCCACATAAGAGCCAGGGAAGATGCCCTGGCGACTGGTGCCAAGGATTTTCCCTTCATACCAGTTCTCATCCACTTGTCGAATCAGTGTGATTCTTTCTCCCTGTAGACAAAACAAGAAACATGAGTTTAAGTTCAGGACGTGCTTATGCTACTTACCAGTGGTGAAATCTAATTTGCCCCCCACCAGTTCTGTGGGTGTGGCTTGGGGGGGAATCGTGTAACTGGGTGGGCATGGGCAATTTTTTTTCTCTTTCAGCTTTTTTAAAAGCTTTTTAAAGCTGAGCTGCGCAATCCTCAGAAGCTTTTTTTTTACTACCGATTCCCAGAACCAACGACAATCGTCCCTACTGGTTCACCCGAACCAGGAGGATTTCACCCCTGCTACTTACATATAAAGGCTGTACTCAGTGGATGCTCTGGGTTTGCCTAAACAGCATTCCTCTGCTAAGATGGGTTTGATTTCTCCTTTCTATTAAGGTAAAGGTTCCCCTCGCACCTATGTGTTAGTCGTTCCCGACTCTAGGGAGTAGTGCCCATTTCTGTTTCAAAGCCAAAGAGCCAGCATTGTCCAAAGACGTCCCCGTAGTCATGTGGCCGGCATGACTAAACGGCGAAGGTGCATAGAACGCTGTTACCATCTCACCAAAGGTGGTTCCTATTTTTCTACTTGCATTTTTATGTGCTTTAAAACTGATAGATTGGCAGACGCTGGGACAGGTAACGGGAGCTCACTCCATTATGCAGTGCTGGGATTCGAACCACCGAACTGCCAACCTTTCTGATCGACAAGCTCAACGTCTTAGCCACTGAGCCACTGCCCCCCTATCTCCTTTCTATTAAATGCTTTTAAATTACCTGGTTTGCATTAACAGTGCCTTAAAAATCGCTTAACTTTTTGATCTAAAATTAAAATATTCAGAGACTCCAGTATAAAGTATAGCTCACAAAAATAGAACGGTTTTTTAAAAATGAGAAAGAAGTGATAGACATGCATATATTTTCCATTTCACCAAAATAACTCAGACTAATTATTACATATACTGTATAATAAGTACATATAATTGGCATTCAGTTTCTTGCCTGATATCTCTAGTATCAACAATAATTGCATATTATTTTATCATTTAATCCAAAACGAATGCTGTAGAAGTGTAAAAAAATACGCTTGTTGCATTGGAGTTCACATTATGTGACAACAAACCTCAAACCTTCCGTTTTTAGAAAACCCCTGTGCATAGTATCTTTTTAAACTTTTTAAAATTTTCAATCTGCTTCTTAGAACATCCATTTGCTATGCTTTGCAATTGAATTGATTGTCAGTAGATTGCATGAGGAAGAAATAATGTTAAGAGCCGAGGTGGCACAGTGGTTAGAGTGCAGTACTGCAGGCTACTTCAGCTGACTGC